CGTTCAACGAATCCGCCGATCATGCGGCGGGGCAGCAGACTATGGCTGAGGTTTTGAAGACAGGCGCTTGCCAGAATTCAGGTCAGGCTGTCAGATTTGAAATGGCAGCGTGGCCGTATTCCGAGGAGAAAGAGCGCTTGGGCGCGGCAGCAATCTTGAAAACTGCGCATGCGCGAGAGACGGAACTGGGGAATCTGCGCCATTCGGGTGGCTGCGCCAACGTAAAAATAACCAAACTGAGGTCGCCAATGGAGACGCAACGTTTTCCAAAACCTCAGCCCGTATCCCAGCCCGCCCAGGCCAGAGAAAAATCCTGCCCGCAAAAGCCTGGTATGCTACAGTGCTGATTCGGCATTAACCGGCAAGTACGAAGTTTATTGCGATATGTATTTTGTCATTTCTCCCTAATTTCAGATATGTGCATAACAGGTGCAGAAGATTTCATATCAGTAGCATTCCATGCTAGCATTGTTTGGCTGACACCCGTGATGCTGCTCAAAAAGTAGTGTCCAAAGTAAATAGGCAGCTTAACTTTTATTGTACTAAAATAGATCTTAAACATTGCAGCATCAGTTTCCAAAAGCAAATTAGAAGGGAAGGGTGGAATTTGAATTTGAGTTTAACGTTGTAATGCCAGTTTTCAACAGCAAATTACAAGGAAGAAGGTGGAATTGAGATTTCACTTGTCACCAAAATGTGACATAGCTTACATCCTTTTCTCTCATCTCAATAAATGGCAGGCCATGCCGTCTAAATTGCTAGCACCAACTGATGGCTTTACACTGGCACGTCAACAAAGGCTGGACGTTTCATGCCATGGGAACTCTCCTCAATTTCTTACATTGAACATAAGCACAAGAGTGATTTGAGTGCATCTCAATCGCCACAATGTTATAACCCTCATTCAAGAACCAAACGCAGACTCTTGTGTGTTGTTTGCTGTCCTTGAGTTGATGTATTATGCGACAATACAAAATAAATGCCACATGACAGATCTGAAATGATCCACATTTCCCTCCTACCACTGTCCATGTTCCACCTCGCACCCATCACCGCCCCGTTTGTGTGGTACTGCGGACAAGCAAGGATAGCAATAATATTTTGTCCACGAATATTTGCCACACAAGCGATCATCATTGACTCCTAGCAGTGCCACAGCAAGGGTAAGATATCGTTAAGTGCTGCAGAAAAATTTACACCACAAAACCAAATTGTAAACATAATATCCAGCAGCTCCTTCGAGATGCCTAGAATCTATCCGGCGCAATATCAGGTAGCTTTGAGTTATTGGTCACGAGATATGTCCAGAGAAGTTTCCATAACTAAATTTAAAATTGGTATGTTTTCATTGCCGTAGCATCCATGGTAAAACACAGGATATTATTAACGTGTATGTTTTCAGGATTGCAAAAAAATCTTACAATGGAACGAAAAAAGAAAGCACCACACGTCAGTCTGGAAGTGACCTTTCACCCTGGTAAAAGATCATCGTTTCAACTTTCCATTAAATCCGTTCTAACGTTGTGTTCTGCAGATGGTACCTTTTGAAACCCTTCTTTCCAAAAGCAGATTTCTGAAGTTACGAGTTGCTAAGTAGATTCTCCATCGCTTGAGTCATCGGCACTTTTCACACATTTTGGCATTGGAACGTTGCCGAAGTGGGACGTTTGTCTTCTAACTGTCACACAGCTCTAATGCATTGATTATCACTCAGGATGATTCTCAGATCGGTTCTAAAGGTTATGTGGTGCGTTCAATCCACCAAGCACAGTATCAGCTCTTTCTGGCCGACGGGTCACGTTATTTATAGTCCGAGGCTTTTCCTAGAGCTTGACGTAATGTTAAAATGTGCTGACCGTCATAGCACTAAACAAGATGCAAAAGTAATGTGAATGCTGCGAAATGAAGTCTGCTCGATCATGCCGTGCAACAGCGTAGTAACCGCACCGAGCCACGCCCGCCTGTTCGGTACGACGCTCGTTGTTAATGTCCTCGCATGCTACGTGTTCACGGTCAGTCCCTCATGGTGCCTGCATGCGCCGGCGCGAAGGGGCCTCAGGGCAGCCTGGCTAGAGGCAGCTGACGTTCGATCAGTTGAGTGGTGGGCTGCACGAGTGGTATTCTCTTGTCGAGCCATACAAACGGGGTAATTTACCACAATATCAGTTCTGCCTGGCCAAAGGGTTGCAAAATAGGGCTCGAGAAGTGTTCGGGTCTTACCTCAACTTTATACACATTCTTAGTGTTGTCGTACAAAAAAGTTACGAAAGACATCATTCCCAATTCTAGGTGTAGGCCATAAGAGTTCACAGAAGCTGCATATTTTGAGCAGGTGGTTGAACATGTCAGCGATTTTGTGGCAACATTGAGCAGAATCGAGGAAAAACTAGGTCATCATCATGAAATCTTTAATGAACACGCGGTACAGAGGTGGAACAAAACGCGGAACAAGCAGCGGCATCCACTGTGCTTAACAAGAATGTGGTTCTCGAAGATTTTGTCAAAAAACTATTCCTGTGGTTTTCAGAACGTTGCCCAGGGCCGGGATAAATCAAGTGTACGGTTCACATATTCATGGCGCACTGTCTTATTGAAGATGGAACGACCCAAGACCAAAACTGTTAAATGATATCGGATTGTACCTAATACTACGCAGTAACTGTGCATGTGTTTATCACGTTTGGTTAAAGACAGGACAATAAACCGTATGTATAGACCGTAGACGTTTGACGTGATCCAACCCACGAGGAAAAAACCTAAAGCTCTCACGTAATGACGGCGCTTATGCTCGTTTCGTGTGTTGGTAAGTACACACTGACATACGTAAATACCATTAACATATGTGCATGTGTACATACTAGCACACCATACTAGCACACCAGAGCGGCGCCAACATCTGCAGGACGTACTAATGAGGTCAATAATGGTGATGGACATGATGAGTTTGGATTCAGATGCAAGAGGTCACGAGCACTACTTCGACAAGTTACTCACGCGCCGGGTGCCTCTCGCGGAGCAGAGGAATTTTGACATTCGCGCCACCGACACTGTGGGAAGCCGGATGGACAAATGTCCCACGAGATCGAGAAAGCTCCTTTAAAAACTGCAGTTTTTGTACGAGTATCTCGCATCATTTTTCGTGCGGGCTTTTCTATAGCTTAACAGCGACATGAGTCAAAATAGTGTAAATGAGCACCAAACGATATTACGCTGGTCATGTTGTCGCAGCGAACTCTTTAGGAGGTACTTGAACGCGTTTTACGTATCTCAGAGCACTGTTCATTAAGTCTGCGAATTGTAAGTCGCGTTAAGACTCTGTTCACCTGCATAATTAGTCCGTTATGATGTACAGCGAGCGAGTAGTGAATTGCTTGAGGGAGCATTGACCTGTGCAATCATGAATTTTAACATGCAAATAGATAAACATTGAACATGGCCACAGATGAATTTAACGGACAGAGAAAGCAACTGACACAATGCTCACCGATCTATAGAGCTGCATTAGTTCAAACCACTGAACATTGGTTTGCCCCTCCCCATGCCACAAACGGTGGCTGTCACCACGGCTCCAGAGCGCGCGGCGGCCGGCCAGAACGCCGGCCCTCGCACTGCCAGTTGTACATTTCGGTATCAAATCCTATCGCGAAAACGGCTGAAGGCAGCTCGCTAATTTGCTTCTAAGCGCTGCAATAGTTCGGTCTGTTGGTCTAAGATTAATGAGTTTCCTCGGCCAAGTATGTTCCTAGTCCTCAACGGGATAACTACTTGATTTTCGAGGTGGCCATTGCAAAGTTAGTGTTAAGAGCAAAGCTGCATAAATGTTCTTGGGTACGAATACTAATGAAGTAAAGAGAAATAACAATGATCAAGTATATACTACTATTAAACAAGAAACAAAGCACACGCGAGGGCACCCTTAGCATACATTTCTTCTATTCATGCCAACTGTAGGTAATTTTTGTTATTTATAGCATTACTTGTCTATGCCCTTTGAGGACATTGGTTTCCAGACCCACGACACGAATGTTCAAAGTCTCATATTCCGTATGAGACGCAAGTAGCTCAACGTTAAAGCAGCTATCAGTGTGCACCTTTGCACGAAAGAAAAGCCTATGAAGTAAAGTTAAGGCCATTTCAGCTGACATACAAAGCCAGCTGAACACGTGAGAGGGGACGCTGAAGTGCTTCTACCCAGAGGATGGGCAAAGCTAAACTATGCGAAGGAGGGTTAGCGAATTAGGTTGCGAGGAAGTGCTACAGTGACTTGTCTCACTAAAAAAGGTGTTCCCACATTTGTATGCTGCAGGGCGTAGCAAGCAGTGCGATCTCCCCAAAAACACGGGCTACAAGGGATTATTGGTGCGCCTGGCGAGTCCACGTTGGAGCTGTTTGTTAACCTGACCTAACTGTGCATTAACGGCCCAAAAGCAACTGAAGGCGAGTGTGATGGTGGCGATTGTTCTGCTGTATCTCAGATTGGAAGCATGATCGCGATGTGATTGAAGCGCAGCTGCTGTAAACGTTCATACACCACCGGTGTCCTCACTCGTACGGGTGGGGCAAAGTCTAAACACGGGTGGCAGTGGCCCTAGACAAAAAGTGCTTGGTAAGAAAACATCAAAACTAGATCGTGGACGCCTTATTGCGTTCCCATATCGGCAGAACTAGAGATGCGGGGTGAAAGGATGTGTCTGTCGGTGAAGACTAGAACGGACAGGTGCGAAAAAATGGAGATCTCTTTTTCGACCAGATGCTCGGATAACGCATGCGACCAGTCCCTGTTGCGTTTGCAATGCGTTGGAAAGGACACCAACTTTGCTGGACACCAAGCAGCGCGGGCTTGTTCGAACTGCGCACGTTTAGCAACCCAGCAGAGCAAGCTAGCAAGTGCGTGTGCGGACAGCAGTTTCATGTCCTCATCCCATATCTAACAGACACATACCGTAACGCGCAAAATATCGCATCCCGCATCCTAACGACAAAATGTAACCATTACTAACCTTGAAGCACATCGCTTTCTTGTTCTAGAGGATGGTCTCTGTGCGTGGTCCATTCACTGTCGAGTAGCGAGTGCTTCCAGTTCCCGTCACGCTGGACGTGACCGACTTCCCGGAGATGAAGAGATCACGGAACGTCTCGCGGAACTGTCTGGACATGCCGCAATAGATCGCAAAGTTGACGGGGTAGGAGAGGCTGATGATGAAATTGATGATGACTACCAGTGCCTTACTGACTTCGTAGTCTAGCAGCTGCGCGTTGTCCATGAGATTCTCAATGATATGGAGACAGGTGACGACAGCCAACGGAATCTCAACGATCAAGAACACACTCACGACGACGATGAGCATCATCGTGGTACAGTTTGAGTCGATGGCCCTCTTGCATTCCCGCTTACCCTTCGAGCTGCTTTCTCTGAACAACATGTCTCGCTTGGCCTGTGCCTCCTGTAAAGTGCGGAACAGCAGGATATTGAAAACCACCAGCGAGATGCAGGGTAGCATGTGGACAAAGAGAACGCGGAACCCGTAGTAGAAACCAAAGTAGAAGTCCTGCGAGTGGCCATCGGTGATCCAGTGAGGTATACTGGGAGCGCAGCTCGTGGCCACGCGACCCTGATAGATGATCTCGACAGTGGTGAAGCTGCGGTCAAAGAAGCGAGTAGACTGGTGCATCAGCGACACCATGTAGATCCAGATGATGGCCTTGATGACGCGTGGAGCGGTGCACCAGGTGCGAGCGGCGGCCGCGTGGCACACGTAGATGTAGCGCTGCACGGCCAACGCCAGCGTTAGCCAGATGCTGCTCGTGTGGAACAGCGACGGCAACGTCTCCGTCAGCGTCACGTACATGTAGCACGCGTACACAGAGTCCAGCGGCTTGTTGTAGTTGCCGAACGTGTACAGGTAGAGCATCCACGGGGCGGGAAGAAGCAGTGTCAGCATGTCTGAGATGGCCATTGACATCAGAACCAGGTTGGTTGGCGTTCGCATGTGCCTCCGATTCATCACCACCACAATCAGCGTGTTGGCGATGATGGTGACGACCAGGAGGAATGGCATGACGTATCCATACAGTGGTAGCCCGTAGTCGATCGGCACTTGATGCGTCACGTTGAGAGACACCGGCACATGTCTGGAGGCGTTGCGGTCCCAGCAGATGACCGTATCGTTGACGTGCTCGAACACTATGTCGCCCTCGCGGCAAGCGTAGTTGGCGAACATTTTCCGCAGCAGTGATCGGTTTGGTGTCATGGCCGGCTACACAGCGCACTCGCTTCTGCCAGCCTGCTGGGCGCACCGAAAATATGTCCAGTTGTTTACTGCTGTCAGTGACTCGCACACCGTGCTTCTAGATTCGGGCGGTCGGGAAGGTGTCCGCTGGCTGCTACGGAGCGCGACCGACCGCACACCGCCGGCACTGTACCCCTATTGACTGGCTGGTGGCTCGACCCGACGCCGACGCAACAGGTGAGCGGCGCACACTCGGGCCCGGCGGGCGGCTGCCGACGAAAGCCGCCGCCCCCTCCCTTCCCCCCCCCCCCCCCCCGCCTCCGGGTGACCGCAGCCGAATGGCTGCCGAAGCTTTTCTCAGTTGCACGTGAAAGAGCGTAATTTGAAACCCGCAATTAAACATATCATAGGCGGTCTTCGGTTTGGAAAGCATTGAAAAAATGCTTCAATATAGGTCTACGCTTCATTCCCACTAACGGCAGTCGGCTGCCGACGCCGTATCTTCCACACAATCTCCACACACACGGGCTCACACACTCTCCACACAGGCGACGTTCTGAGGCGGGGAGGGGGGGGAGGGGGGAGGGCGTTATGACAGGGTGGTGACAGGCGACAACAGTCGGCATCGGTGCCGGTGATCGCTGATCCCCGATACAAGTGTCTCCTGACCTGGAACCGCAGTACTCTGTGTTTACTATAAGATCAACCAATCTCGCCATGTCGCGTCAAGCCAGAGCACCTCATTTTGGCTTCTGCTACCGAAAACCAGGCGAAAGCCTGCACGGTTTGTCCATGGTCTCCTTTACAGGACAACAAAAATACGGTGAAATACGATGTTTTTGTGGAAAATAGGATGAGCGCACTGGGAGACAATACAGGGCATAAAGAGAGTGTTCCACGTTAAAAGAGAGTTTTGAACTGAAAGAACACTGTGAAGATCATTTGGTGCAGTTCACAGCCCTGCCCTGAAAGGGAATGCTCCACATTTGTTTGGGGGTTTTGAACGAAATAGCCATCTTGGGAACATTGGGATGCAATTCACGGCCATGCTCTTTTTAAGATGCAAAACCCTCTGGTTACTGAGTTACATGCCCGCAGAAGTAGCGGAAGGTTTATTGAGGGACTACTTCAAAACCACCTACGTAATGTCTATGTCATATAAACGCCATGCGATCGCCGTGATATTAGAGGCTGTTTTCTGCTTATGGTCAAAAACGGCATGGCCGCTGATACATTGGCTAAAGCGATGATGCGGCACATATGACACAATCCGCAGAAGGCCATTGACTGTTAATAAGATTTCGCTGCCGAATGCGCGTCGCAAACGTAAGCGTGAGCACTTTCGGGTTGTGCGCCGCTCCTCGTCAACGGGGCGTTGTTCCTTGCATCCAGGCCATGGACCAAAGTCCTCAAAAAGCCACTGTTTGCAAAAAATGCGACACCGTACAAAACTGGCGCTTTACCGGATGTTTTAAAAGGAAGGCACAACGGCAACTCTGTCTTTTTTCTCCTGCTGGCGTTGTTTCTTCTTTTGCTCACGTGTTTCTTACGGACAGCTCAATTGGCGCCGTATGCGCCGGAGCAAAGGATCTTGCTCGGGTTTATGGGCTAGCTAGCCATTATAAGATTAAGGAAACATTACGGTAACTAAATATATATATATATATATATATATATATATTTCTAAATATCTGACACATATTGCACAACAAAACTAAATCTTGAACAAAAAATGTGTTCCATGAAGTTCTACAAGTTCTATAAGTGTCTAATGTTCTACAAGTACAAACTCTTGAGCCGCATTACCATGAAACCCCGTTGGGACTTTGTTTTGAAGGGGGCTCACGGTGAAATGCAGTGTTTTGACTGGAAACCTGTGCGGAAATCGCGAGAAAACCTGCAATATGATAGTCCTGCGAGATGTACAGGTGTGGGATCACACTCATTTTACATGAGTGTGAATCAGGGGCTTGAAAGGGGTGTGATCACTGGTGATGCGTGTCAGTGGCTTGAACTGATCTTCATGTGATGGGAAGTGTGGCCGCCGTTTGTAGGCGACATCGCTTCAGTGATACATGGCGCACAACATGAAGGGCGCTGTTCGTGGCGCGAGATGGTGGCGAGAGATGGCGCTCGTGATGGCGTTCCTGGTGCCGCGGGGCGTTTGAAAGTGAGCGGCTCTTGCGGCGCCGCTCAGAATGTGACCGGAACGTGATGTGCCAGGGACGCGTCCGCAAAGAGTGAGTAATTGTGTGGACTTATAATGTTACGTTATTATTGTTTCAGGTCATGTTATGCATTGGTCATCATGTCAGGTCATATTTATTTTCGGGTTATTATTATTGTTTGACTTTCATTTCAGGTTTTACGCACAATAAAGCGGCAATACCAAAATGGCGGCTTCGAAGCGGTTGGAACGAGCCGCGGTCATGTAATGGCTGTTACAGTAAAATTATCATTCCAATTCTCAAGCTGAAGATGAAAGTTTCAAGACTGAAGACATGTTGCTCAGACTCACAGACCTGCTCACTGAGCGGTACAATGACAGCAAGCTCCCATCGCTGGAACCAGACATCTTCAGGGGCAATGTGGAAAAGTTTCCAATGTGGCTCAAGTCATTTTAGACTTGGTTGAATTGAACATTGAAGATCGAACATCAAACAAGCTCTCCCATTCAAAGACTTCACTTCCTGGGGAAGAATACTGCAGGTGAGGCTAAGACATCCATCCTGGGTCTGCTACACTTAAGAACAGATGAAGCGTACTGACAGGCAAAATAAAAACTGACGGACATGTTTGGAAATGAGTTTGTTGTGTCAAATGCCTATCGCATGAAGATAAGAGACTGGCCTGTGATCAAAAGTGGAGATGGGCGTGCTCTCAGAGATTTCGCTGACTTCCTGGAGCACTGCCAACCTGCAGCAGCAAGTTCTCTTCAGCATCTGGGAATTTTGGATAACCATCTGGAGATCCAAATTGTTGTGAGCACGCCCAGCCGGCCCGGCGGCACAGAGTGCCGTCCCCGCCGTGTCACGGCGCGGCCTCGGCCGCGTGGTGGAATGCGACTTACCACCAAGGGCGCTAACCGCCGTCCCGTGGCGGACCGTATGGGACGCGTGATAGGTGAGCGCGTGCTAGCCCAGTGCAAGCTGACTTATGAGTGGTTGTTCACCCGAACTAAATGCAATGTCGTGCCTGCCTGGGACGCCACTGGACTCGGTTTAATACAGATCGCCGCGTCGCTACACGTCTCTCTCTGACCGAGCTAAGCTGAACTGCTGGACGAAGACATCACACAGATGATGGTGTGGAAGTTGCTAAAGTACATGGTTGACAGATGGAAGAGAGAAGTAGATACGTGGCTCTACAGTGGACAAAGTGTAAGGAGACATTCATCCTTCTCAGAGTTTGTTCGTTTTGTCAGTGTCGAAGCAAGGATAGCTTATGGACCAGTTGATGTACCTACACATAAAGAGAAGCGAACTGCTCCACTGAGGATGACTCAAGACAATACCGGAACTTTCATGTCCTCAACTAAAGCTAAGGACACAAGACGAATCTCCAGTTGTGTGTTTTGTCAAAAACAGCATGAAATCAAGGACTGTGACACATTTAAGGGGATGGCTATTGTTGAACGCCGCAACGTAGTGAACCAGTCGGGCTTATGTAGAGGTTGCCTGAGGAGAGGACACAGGTGGAAGGAATGTCGTTCAAAGGCCAAGTGTGATGAATGTGGCAGGCGGCATCCCACGGTGCTGCATGATGAATCAGTTCTGAGAAAACTGGAGACACACACAGTTGGAAGACAGGAGATAATTAACGGTGCTCCGCAGGCTACGTCCTTCCGTAGGCTCTGTGGTAGGCACTGAAGGAGAGAGTTGCACTCACTCACTGGTTCTGCCTGTACTGCTGAGCCACACTTACAACCCTGAGCATCAACTGCTAGTGTATGCACTACCTGATGCCCAGTCAGATATATGCTTTGTTTCCAAGTCAGCCGGCGAAACTCTGAATGCTGAATGTGGAGCAACGAAGCTGGAGCTGAGCACCATGGCAGGCAAGTCCGCCATTGACAGTGAAGCAGTTGAAGGTCTGGTGGACATTTTGAGATGCCGCTTCCACTAAGGAGTGACAAGGTATCCGTTCCAAACAGCAAGACTGTGGCAATGCAACGGTTGAAAGGGCTGAAATCGAAACTCGTGAGAAATGAGTCCTATCGTCGCGATTACACTGGATTCCTGGAAACGACTGTGGCAAAGGTTCATGCAGAGGAGGTTCCCAGTGACGAACTGAAGCTCGACAACGGCAGGGTGTGGCACATTCCCCACCATGCTGTTCATCACCCGCAGAAGGCCAACAAGATCCACGTCGTTTTCGACTGCAGCGTCCAGTTCGAAGGCCACGTGCTGGACAACTACCTCCTGTAGGGCTCCGACATGACGAACAGCGTCACCGGAATCCTGTGTCGTTTCCGTAAGCAGCCTGTGGCGATCTCCTATGACTTGGAAGCTATGTTCAACCAGGTGTTCGTGGACGCCAGAGACCGCAACCTCCTCCGCTTCCTGTGGTGGAAGGACAGCGACCGGGACAAGGACCCAAGTGAGTACAGGATGAAGACTCACATTTTTGGTGCAACATCTTCACCCGCGTGCGCAGTGTCTGCGCTGAGAGCTCCAGCTGACGGCTGTCATGATAGTACAGAAAAGGAAGCCGCCGTCTTCGTGAAAAACGACTTCCATATCGACGACGGCCTCGCATCTGTTCAAAATGTGGAGACAGTGGTAAGCTGGACTGGTGTAACCAGAAGGCTATATTAACGTGGAGGATTTAAAGTTCACAGGATCATCTCGAGCAGCATTGGTGTTGTGAAGTCTGTGCCGGCAGAGAGACGCTCTGCAGGACTGCCGAGTTTGGATATTGGTTACAACAGCCTCCCCGTTCAACGGACATTGGGAGTGGTGTGGAAAACAGAAACTGACATGTTCTTCTTCCATGAGAAGCCTTGTGCCAAGCAAGTGAACAGGAGAGGCATCTTGTCAGTGGTGAGTTCGGTGTTTGATCCGCTGGGCGTGGCCTCTCCTTTCGTTCTGAAGGGCAAGCTGCTCCTGAGAGAGTTGTGCCGCGAGGGCCTTGGGTGGGGCGAGCCCA